TAGATGTTAAATAGGAGAGGTGACAGCACTGACCCCTGTGGACCCCACATAGCAGGGGGTGGGGGCAGGGGCAGGGGTGGGATCTCTCCTCCCCAGTCACCACTGACTGGAACCGACCCTGGAGAAAGGAGGCGAACCAGCACAATACTGTGCCACCCACCCCCAATTCTCTGAGTTGGTTCAGAAGGATACCATGGTTGATGGTATCAAAAGCCACCGAGAGGTCAAGTAAGGCAAGGATGGATGCACAACCACCATCCCGCCCACACCAGAGATCATCCAAAAGCATGACCAATGCTGTTCAATGCTCATTCATTCATTCATTCATTCATTCATTCATTCATTCATGTTATTTGTTTATTCATTCAGGCTGGCTAAACAACTATTAAAACCAATGCCAGCTAATGATATTGAAAAAAAATGAAAATAAAAAATGTTACATAGTAAAGGCAAGGACATACACTAGCAAAAACATAATACGAGGTCAACGTTAAATTATTTGTGGATCAGATAAGAAAACATTAGTAAAGTTTTGCCAATCCAGCCTTTCGAGGCAGGGAGTTCTACAAATTAGAAAGGTTTTTTCTCTCATTCCCTTGAACTGCCCCTCCACCACATTTAGGATATAGAAAAGGGCCTTTCCATCAGATCTTAAGGAGCAAATAAGACTGGTAGGAGAAGAGGCAGTCCCAGGACTGATTGACTGATATTTATTTGTTAGATTTCCATGGCCTCCTGTCTTGTAAAAGTGACTCTGAGCAGCTAGCAAAATTAAAATGTCAATATAATAGCAAATAGCAGAAATAATACAAGCCCTGTTATTCCCTGTTTGTCTGGGTGCATGTGGTTTCTTTGTAGATTTCTGTTTAACACAGTATTATTATTATTATTATTATTATTATTATTATTATTATTATTATTTAGTTTTTTAATATTATCAGTTAATAATATTCCTGATAACAGTTCAATCCTTTGAAATCCCATTTGGAAAAAAGGCTGCTGCGCCTAGTGAAATAGATTGGCTAGGTCTCCTTCTCAATTATGCTTTTTCCATTCTATCTGTGACCCTCTGAAGTGCTGATTAGTGATTCAAATCAATGTTGTTAATGATTGCAAGAATAACCTAGATTCATTAATCTACAATATCAAGTACAAATCAATATAGCATTAGGGGAACTCCCATAAAACACAGTGAGATCCATGGAATGGTGATTAAAGCAAGTTTAATGCTTAACTGAGCCGTATGGCAGTGTTGGATTACCATAAATTAAACTGGAGACTTAAAGCATGATTTGTAAGAACAAAACCTGTCTTTAATAAGAATCAAGAAATTATGGCCATTATCTGTTTCATTCACATACACATTCAGTGTGTACATATACATTCAATTCATGGGATATGAATGGAAACACATGGGATTCAGCTGTTCACATCAGATGGTTTCTCCTGTGTCCATTGGAAAAATATGTGAAGAAAATGAGGCTAAAGGGGTCAGTAGTCAGTGGTGTATAAATAATAGATGCTTAAACCTATTATATGCTGGTCAAGTTGTTTTCTTCCCCTCTTCCCCATACTTAAAATTGCTCTAATTTTATGTTCTCTGCCAGTGCTGCTAGAGATATGTATGTATAGGATCTGTACATGTATAGGAATGTGCGTGTGCAGTAGCTGGAGAGCAAAACAGACTGTTGGATTTGTGTTTTGCCTACAGGTTCAGGAAATGGTTAATGTCTCATCAGCTCCACTATTTCTTCCTCTTTTCCATGTCTGGTTTCAATGAAATATTTTCTGTCTCCTATTCAGGTAGGTGCTGGATTAAACAGGTCTGCTAATGCAGAGACACTCAGGAACCCTTGGAGCCCTGAGCTCTGTTGGGATTGGAGTTGCCAAGGCCTTTATCAAGGGCCACCCCTAGTGACACATCCAGTGCCAGGACTTGGTTTGACTTTGACTCTTCTGCAAGGGCTTTGCGGAACACCGAAAGCAGGAAGGGGGCAAAGATGGAAGCTCTTAGAATTCCAGTGCTCACGCCTTGCTCCTTTGGAAGCCACTGCCTGTAAGTGACCCTTCCGAAGGGGAGGGAGGGTGGAGGACAAGAACCCCCTTCTCGAAAGATGCTTTCCTGAAAAATGAACAGCAGACTGGGCTGCTTTAGCCTCTTGCTATCGGAAAAGGTGCAGCAGCTGCTGGGTCTGCCCGGATAAGATAAAGATAGTAATGGAAATGTGAAAAAACAGATAAGTGGCATATCTATGTGGTGGTGACTTTTTCATTGTTGTTGTTACAGGCCCTAGAATTTACAGCTGAGGTGAAACTCAGCGTCTGGATTTAAACTCCTGGTTAATTTATAAATGCTGTAGCCCTTTTCTCAAGGCACAGCTTTTCGCTGTATGTGTGTGATTTGCATTCCTGTGGAAAGAAAGAGATTCCTTTTCTGTTGGAAGGAGTGGGCCACAGAAGCTAGGTCTGTTCTTCATCTGAGCCATCTGTTACTCCATTTGAGGGGTTGTTACACTTCTGCAGTCCTTGTGGTCTCCCTGCAGTTAGCCTGACTGCTATCATAAAAATTAACAGGAAAAAAAAATGGTTTACAGAGTGGAGAAAAAAAGTCAAGAGTCCAGAAGCGGTTTTTCCAGCAAACAAACTTTATGAAAAATGTTAATAATTTAAAATAATGAATGTTAATAAAATGCATTAATCCAAAAAACTTTTTTGCCACCCCGTTCTCTTCCTACAATATCTACAGGGTGAAGGAATCTGAAACGCTTAGGGCCTGTCGCTAATTTTGCACCCAGGACTACCCTCCTGAGCTGTTCTTTTGTACATAGAAAAAAAGCAATGATAGAGGGGTTTCTACATAGCAACTCTTAAAAGGATACAGTAGAGGTTGCAGCCTGGTGACTATGAACTTGATTTTCCTCTAGGCCTTTGCAGGGCAGTACTAACCATACACAGCCTTCTGCAGGGTGTTGTTGTTGTTTTTTAATTGGCTGGGCTGTTGCATCTCTACTTCATTGCCTGGTAAAAGATTTCTAACCAGTCCAAAAGCTCTGTGTCCCTGTAAGGGAATTAGGCATTCAAGCCAATCAACTTAAAGCATTTTATTGAACTGCAACTCCTGCAAAAAGGGAGGGGAAAAAAAAAAACCCTCTACCTCCAGAGCTTAATAATTATTTAGTGAATGTTCTTGGGCCATGAGAGAGCCTCTCATTAGATTAACAAAAGGATTGTTGCTGAGTAGCTTGAGAAAGTATAGGGACAGAATGGAAAAATACTACATGGGGTACACAGTTGTTTAATTTTCATCTGTGACGGATCTTTTGTGTGGCATTTTATGAATCTGAATCCGTAACAGCATGTGAATATGGGTACATGGGCACATACATGTGAATTCTGTAGCAAAAATTGTTTAGAGCATCCTGGGGCAAGCTTCTGAAATCCAGTCATCTTCAGATAACATTGGAAAATATCTACCATCATTTCAGCAGCATAACCAGACGGACTTGGCCATGCTGGTTAGGTGAGGGTGTGAATGGTCCAACATATTTAGAATATAGTGAGGTTTTTTAATAATTATTTTATTATATCCTGCCTTTTTCAAAGAGCAAAGATGGTTTTCTTGTGGGCAGGGAGCTCACCCAATTTTGATCTGTAAAACAGCAGCCTTGAAGTAAATTGGGCTGGGAGGGAATTACTGGAGTGAGCTCCATCGTTCAGGTCCAGATGGGGTGGGCTTGAAGCTGTATCTTCCAAGGTGAATTCAGATCCATTGCCTTATGGAAGGCTGTGCAGAGGAAAGGACAACAGAATCTAGAGATTCTTACATTCACAAGATGTATTTCGTGAAAAGAGCTCTTGTGTACAACCTTTTCCTATCCTGGGCACCATGATGTGATTTTGCACAGTGTGTACAAACAGTATCCTATATATGTGTGTGTACAAAGAACATCCTATACACACCCACCCCCCCACACACACCCACACACACACAACGCTCAAACAATTTTGCATTTTTAAAATTTTATTTTCTTGTGATGGGACAACCTGGGGCACAGTGAGAACTGCATTTCTAACCATTTTTGTAAGTGTAATCTTTACTTATGCTAGGCAAAATATCTCAGGCCTGAGTTTAGATACTTTTAAGAATGATGTCCAGAAAAAAATGATTAAAATAGTTAGCAATAACAATAACTTAGGGGAGAATATCACATTTGGCTATTAATGCCTTTAGTTCTAATGTTAGAAACTCAGACTAATGATGTGCTTTCTGCCAATCACCAAAACATGCAAAACGGATTAGCAGCCAAGTCCTGTCACAAGATATGCAAGGATTGGGGTTCAGTGGGTGCTGTGTCAGGCGATAAGTGAAGGATTCTCAAGATCCTTAGGAGGATCACTTCTAGTAAGAGGACAATTTGGTAAGTAAAGAGAAAAATGAGGGTTCTGGCCTTAATAATGGAGTTTAGCACTAAGACAAATTACTCCTAAATCAGCCTCTAGTTAAATCAGAGATTAGTCAAGCCAACAAATAGGAAACAAGGAAAGCTAGCACAAAGACTAGGCATGAAAAAATGGCTAACAATTTGTATTTGAAGTCAAGGACAGTTATATATTTTGGAAAAAATCAAAAATCTGTCTGGAAACCCCTTATAGACATTTTGCGTGAAACACAAAAAACAATGAACTTATGATTTATGGTTTTGTTGATTAGACAGAATAGATTATAGAAAGAAGGGTTATGTTGCAACCATAGAGTAAGAGGTAAATTTATACAGGTAATCCTCGCTTAACAACCACAATTGGGACTGGAATCTTGAATGTTGAGTGAAGTGATCATTAAGCAAGACACCCATGTGACTGCTTCGCTCAACGACCACAATCCGGGCATTCCTGTTTGCGGTCATTAAGCAATCTCCCGGGTTGTTAAGTGGACAGAGTGAAAGAGCTGCCTGGTGAAGAATTTCAGCTCTGCGCGGAGTTGAAATCCTCCTGGCAGGCAGCTCTTTGAGAGTAAAAGGGCTGCCTTCTGGATGGTTTCAGAAGACAGAGCTGAAATCCTCCTGGCAGGCAGCCCTTTCAATCTCAAATGTTCCTGCAGCCCACTGAAGGGTTTCCCTTCCTCTCTGTGCATGGAGGGGAAAATCCTTCGGTGGGCTGCAGGAATAGAGCTCAAATCCTGAAGATTTCAGCTCCATTCCTGAAGCCCACAGAAGGATTTCAGCTTCCTCCATCCCCTCTGCTTGCAACTTTCCCCGCTGGCTTCCTCATTGACTTTCCGGGGAAGCCAGCAGAGAAGATTGCAAATGGCGATCACACAGTTGCAAGGTGCTTGGCAACCAGTTGTAACTATGAGCTGGTTGCCAAGTGCCCAAAATGCGGTCATGTGATGCTGGGGGGGGGTGGCATGATGTTTTATGATGGCCAGAAGTGCTTTACGGGCTGTAAAGCTGTCAGGCTCAGCCTAAGAACAATGATGAAACTGTCCAGTCGAGTACAGTTCCTTTATTTGCCTTATAGACAGAATCTTGCCAAACTAAATCTATACTACAGCAACTAGTGGATATACCCTGGGAGATTCTTTTTTTTTTTTTTAATCATTCATTCAGTCATTACTGACTCTGCAGTGACTGCTTGGACGAGTCCTTGCAATTTTCAAGGCAAGTGTTTCGGAAGTGGTTTGCCAGAGCCTCCTTCCTAGAGCAGAGCCCAGCCGGCAAGCGCCAGAGGCGGGGTTTCCGTTTCTTCTCGGCCCTGTCGCCGGGGCG